ATCCTATTAATGCGGGCGTTCCTAGTGACCATTTATTTTTAACCACCGTTTCGAAGGACAATGCCCCTATTCAAATGCGATTGTATACATCCTGTGGTTCATTTTTGTAACTCTATTGTGGACAATGTCAGTGTAGAATCCATTATTTCATTCAAAGAATTGAAGTATTTAGATTCTAGTACTGTCATACCAACCACTGAAGCTTCAATATCGGGATTACTGTACACAAACTGCCCATAGGAGGATACTGTGAATCACTAATGAAAGATGATAATCCTTCCCATATTCCTGGTGAATTATTAGTTAATGAAGCAGTACTTAGTCTAAAGAGTTTCAAAAGGCTTCAAATGTAACTGAGTCTACTGGTTTCCAAAGGACATTCGGGTGCGTTACTTAAAGATGTGATAGCTGAGCGTGCTAAGTGTAGTGGAGGTATGAAAATTCAGCCTCTAAAATTTTAAGTACAGGGTGATCCAGTCTTTATTGAAAGACGAAAAACTCCTCGTAAACGTAAAATATCGTACTTTCATAAAACGCTGAAGAATAAACAATTATCCTTACATATTCAACCTGAATTGAGTTGTTCAGCTATGCACTTGAATTAGTTCAACTGATAAGGTTTACTATCAGTGAGTAATTTATCGAGATAAATCAGATTAATGGTCCTCAGAAAATATTTAAAACAAAGGAAAGTTGAGCGAACAATCGTTTTCATAAACCTCGTCGTCAGGCTCTACGGTTTTAATTCAGAAATATTACAACGTTTCGGCTACAATACATAAAATAATAAGGTTGAATAAGTCCGTATAATAAGTTGAAAATGACAAACCTCAGAAGAATTGATTCCTGAATAGTGAGAATTAATAATAAAACAAATTAACGTTATTTGTAATATTGAGTTTAAGTCACACGTTACTGTTAAACAAAGATTCGGAATTACTGAAGTGTGAATAGAAGTAAGATCACAACAAGTCAATCGTCAAGGCATCATGAACGAATTATTGTCAGACGACTCATCAAGCAATTCAAAATCTGTATCGAAATTACATTCAAGAATGATGAAATTGATCTCAAAATTCTAGTTTGAATTCAAGAGAGAAGATATTAGAATCTCAAATAAAGTCATTGTTTCTTTACTCTCACACGGTGTTTAATTGAAACATCAAATGAAGAATAGCTTATTATTATTCATCTGTATTTTGTACTTTCACACTAGACAAAATAGAGTTCAGGTATTCTTATCATTTTGACTAAATATTTTCAGACAAAGAAACAAAAATCTTTTGAAAATCAAATGTTGTTCTCGTCAGAGTATTGTTAGACACACACGTACTACAATAGACTGACCCATTGTTACTTTGATACTCTTTTGTTTTCATATTTTCTGTATGAGGTGAAATACTTTCTAAACCTAATCTAATGAATGTCTGATTTATGAATGTGCCAGATTATCTATGATACCTAGATATATTTGGATTGTGAATGCTAATTAGCAATATCAGATAACTACCCAATATCTCATATAGAAGATTTTAAAAATGGTTTATCGGATATGGACATATTTACTAAATTGGACTTGTTCCTGAAGACCGAATGAGAAGAGGAAGACCAACGAACACATTACGCCGAAAAAAATGGAGACAGATCTGTGGAGAATGAACAAAAGTTGTATAGAACTAGAAAAGAAGATCCACTACACATTCAAGTACCAATCAACAAGCAAATCCATCTATAGAGTTTACTCGCAACCAGATACACGTTTTGCCCACGTTCGTATCACCTTTGTAGGCCCTTCAACACGTTCATATAATTTTGACGTGGTCGAGAAGATTTGTAGGCTAGGTCAATGAATTTGGTGTAGTTTTGTTCTCTGAGTTGGATGGTTTGATCATGGAGCTTTGATCGTTCTTCTGAACTGCCCCACTGTTCGTGGTAAATAGTCAAATCTTAAAAGAAAGCGTATAATTTTAAGTGTTAAATGTTCAGTCCAGCATTAATGTTTTCGTTCACGGTACATATTAGTAATATGGAAAGAAATAGACGCTATGTAGACATGTAGGTATGAACATGAATAAAAATGGAAAAACAAATTCGTCAAAAAATATCAATGTGAACCCGTCAGACGTGGGATTCATCAATTGACGACCAAATAAATGATCTTGAGTCTGCGGTGACCACGTTTCTCAAACTGGTTTGCAACCGCAGACACAGAAGCTGTCAACTGACCAGGAGCAATTAGAACACAGAATTTGAAAAAAAGCGATAGAAATACTCAGTGCTGGAACCGAATAGGCTACTTAGGGCCAGCGACATAATCCGACCATGAAATATCGAGGTTTGGATAAACCTTCGAATTGAGGACTAAGTGGTGATTTTACCTTGTCAAAACATATCCAGTCGTGAGTGATATTGCTGAGATACTTGGGTAAAAATGTCTTTCGTTACTGTTCACGAGTATTAATTGGTTAGTGTTTTGACATTTTCATGGAACATCCTTCCTAGTTCTATCCAATGTTTGTTCATTCTTCTCAGATCTGTCTCCATTTTTTTCGGCGTAATGTGTTCGTTGGTCTTCCTCTTCTCATTCGGTCTTCAGGAACAAGTCCAATTTAGTAAATATGTCCATATCCGATAAACCATTTTTAAAATCTTCTATATGAGATATTGGGTAGTTATCTGATATTGCTAATTAGCATTCACAATCCAAATATATCTAGGTATCATAGATACTCTGGCACATTCATAAATCAGACATTCATTAGATTAGGTTTAGAAAGTATTTCACCTCATACAGAAAATATGAAAACAAAAGAGTATCAAAGTAACAATGGGTCAGTCTATTGTAGTACGTGTGTGTCTAACAATACTCTGACGAGAACAACATTTGATTTTCAAAAGATTTTTGTTTCTTTGTCTGAAAATATTTAGTCAAAATGATAAGAATACCTGAACTCTATTTTGTCTAGTGTGAAAGTACAAAATACAGATGAATAATAATAAGCTATTCTTCATTTGATGTTTCAATTAAACACCGTGTGAGAGTAAAGAAACAATGACTTTATTTGAGATTCTAATATCTTCTCTCTTGAATTCAAACTAGAATTTTGAGATCAATTTCATCATTCTTGAATGTAATTTCGATACAGATTTTGAATTGCTTGATGAGTCGTCTGACAATAATTCGTTCATGATGCCTTGACGATTGACTTGTTGTGATCTTACTTCTATTCACACTTCAGTAATTCCGAAATAATAAATCGCAACAGTGTGTATTGTGTATCAATATGACTTCGTTCTACACAAAACGTGATATCCTTAACCAATGTCATTCTCTGTCATCATCAGTGAATGCACACCGCTGAGGATTCTCTTTGTAGAACGAAACGGTCGTTCAGTGCTTCCAGGTTTTCTATTGTGGTCTAACGTCAATTGACTCATGTTCTCAACTATTAAACTTAGTATAATATCCACAAAAATCCCTTCCGATAGTAAAAATTATACTGAACATCATGGGGAAATTGTCGTCTTGAGACTTCAGTCAAATGCTCTTTCTTTGTTTCACAGAAAATCATAAACGTAGCTGATAGGTATTCTACCATTTAGTTCGCTTGAGAGAATAGCAGGCAAAATATAATAATAATAATATCGTAAACAGATATTATTGGGAACATTTGCAGCATTATTAGAATAAGAATAACACTTGTATGAAGACTACAATATTCACGTAATCAGTATATATGACAAAGGAATGAAATATTTTTGTTTATTAACCACCAGTGGACCATCCAACAACAACAAAACTCTCATTGTTATTCTTCAATTATAGGCAGGTTTTGTCGACTGATAAATGAAAGCAAATGTAGAAGACAAGTCTGTTTGTGTGATCCACACTAATATTTTGTTAAACAGAACACACTGAAACTGCAGATCAACCTATTGACCAAAATGATCAATATTATACATGAACAAATGTTTTATAGACTAACGAAATTTGTGCGTTATATGTAATACCACACTAGTTCTGTTGCCATAGAAATTGACTGGTAACGCAATAATACTCTAATGTATCGAAAATATTTCCCTTTACTGATAACTGATTTCGTTATTTTAAAATTCTAGTAATTGAAACATGAATCGTTCACCCAACGAATTAGACACAATCTGGTAATAATTGTTTGGCAATTTAATATGGATAAATACAACTCTATTTATTAGTTTACAATATATGTTGGATGGAATCTCTTTTGGTTGAAAATTCTTACGTTTATAAATACGTAGTCGACAGTTCAAGAATTCATACACTGCATGAACCATACAAATTCAGAAAGCCTACATGAAGATTAAATTCACTTGTTGTTGGCATGCGCGCATACTGTGCAGATCGCCTCGATACTGCTTCAAGTCACAAGCTTTAGAAGCAAAGATAGATAGTGCGTAGCAGTGAAATCCAGGACGCGCACTTCGTCCTATTTGCGACTCGTCAGCCGGATGTATCTGAATCTCACAATTGATGTTCACTCCAGGATTGGGTTTGAACGCTGGAGTGAATATCAAAGCAGTCCTCACAAATTGCACATATGCCAACAAGAGGCTGATCAATTACAGTCCTAAAAAACAACAACAACAACAAGCAGACAACACCAAGTGAATTTCAACTTCAACCCATTGCACAAGCAAGTGGCCATCAAAACTCAGTGGTTAAGTGGATAATACCATGGCGTTTGAGCCGAACCGTGTTGGGTTCGAGTCCTGGAGTGCGCATCCAGCTGACGAATCCCAAGTAGGACGGAACGCGCGTTAAATTGCATTCCACTGTTATCTACTATCCATTTTTGCTTATTATCTGATGATTATTTACTAAATATATACAATCTACTTAATGAACATTCAGTAGTATCACTGTGTAGAAGAAAGGCGTAAACATTAATTATCAATTCAGCAGAATTACGACAATATGATTTAGAATAAATCATCATTACGTAGCGCACTAAATGATTGTGCTAAAACAAACTAAGAAAAAGTGATGATGATGATGATGATGATGATGATGATGATGATGATGATGATGATGATGATGATGATGATGATGATGATGATGATGATGATGATGATGATGATGATGATGATGATGATGATGATGATGATGATGATGATGATGATGATGATGATGATGATGATGATGATGATGATGATGATGATGATGATGATGATGATGATGATGATGATGATGATGATGATGATGATGATGATGATGATGATGATGATGATGATGATGATGATGATGATGATGATGATGATGATGATGATGATGATGATGATGATGATGATGATGATGATGATGATGATGATGAT